AATGCTTTGCAATCATCTAGTTTAGTGGTTCTCAACTGGGGACAATTCTGCCCCCTAGAGAACATTTGGCAATGTCTGGAGACATTTTGGGTGTCATGACTGAGGGAGAAGGGGTACTACTGGCATCTAGTGGGTAGAGGCCAGGGATGCTGCTAAACATTTTATAATGTATAGGACAGCCCCCATAACAAGGCATTTTCTGGTGTACAATGTCAGTAGTGCTGAAGTTGAAAAGCCCTGGTCAGTTTGACCCCTTCATTTGAAACTGAGGCTCACAAATGTGAAGTAGTTTGCTCTTACCTATTTTATGTAGCATAGATAGTATATTTTCTACATTTATAAATAAAGGTAGTTGTCATTACCGTCAGACAGATACTGTGAGAAGGTTTGCATGCATCGTCTCTGACTCCTCCCAAGAAGGTGTTATTCCCCATTTTATAGGTCAGGACACTGAGGCGTATACAGAGGTTCATTCATTCATTAATTTATGTAATAAACATTTAGTAAGAGGTACCAGGCCATTATTTTTTAAGTCGGAAATACAATGGTGAGTAAAACTGATGGGCATTGTTATAAGTACATTCTGGTGAGGAAGACAGACCAAACACAATTAAATAATGATTACAAATTGTGGCAAGTGATATGAAGGAAAAAAGGGGATGAGATAGAGATTAAATGTGAAAGGAAGTCCACCTTATTTAAATAGGGAGATTGAAATTGTCTTCTTTGATGTATTGACATATAAGCTGAAACCTGACAAATGAGCAGAAGAAAGCTGTGTGAAGGTGAGGAACTGTTTCAGGTGGAGGAGTACTGTGTGTGTGGGCTGAAGCAGGCCCAAGTTTGACCTTTTTTTAGGAAATGAGAGTAGACTATTGTGGCTGGAACAGTCAGTGATAGAGAAGATGACTTGAGATTGGAGATGAGTGGTACAGATAGGGCAAAGCCTTATAGGCTCTTGTAAGGATTTTGTATTTTATACTGTTTGCAATGAGAAGTTATTGAAGGGTTTTAAGCAAGGGAGGTGTATTAGTCCATTTTGGGTTGCTGTAACAGAAATTGTATCTGGCACAGGCCTCAGGCTGTTTCTACTCATGGCAGAAAAGTGGCAGGCAGCTGGCAGGTCACATGGTGAGAGGAAGCAAGAGCGAGTTAAACAACAAGCTCTCTCGGGAACTAATAGAGCTAGAACTCACTCACTACCCCTCTTCCCCCAGGGAGAGCATGAATCCATTCATGAGGGATCCGCCCCCATGACTCAATCAGTTTCCAACACTGCCAAAATGGGGATCAAATTTCCACATGTGTTTTGGTGGGGACAACACATCCAAACTCCATCAGGAGGGATATGAGACCCCATCTATGCTTTTTAAAACTCCCACTATTGTCTGTACAGTAGATTGGAATAATAGGGCAAGAATAGAATGCAGGAAGACCAACTGGAAGGCTGTTGAAGAAGTTCAGTTGAGAGTAATACAGTTCTGAGATATTTTAATTTTTGTTTTAGAATCAAACTGGATTTGCTAATGAATAGGAATGGGGGGGTGGTGAGGGAAAAAGAAATCAAGGATGAGTTCTTAGGTTTCTGGCTTGAGTAACTGGGTGAATTTAGTGAGATGGGAAAGATTGGGGGAGGAACATTTTGGGGAAGATTGGTGAGAAGGATTCACTAGTTTGACGTTGGACATATGGGAGGTATCTGACAGTTACTTAAGCTGCAGTGTAATTTCATTTCTGTGTGCGCCATCTTCGGGGGAAATGGTGAAAAGTTGATCACTTCCCTAGAGAGGTTAAGTTATTTATTTAGAAAGACAGCATACTGTATTTGGAAGAATGCTAGATTGGTCTTCAGAACTTCCAGGTTCCAACACTGGTTCTAGCTCTCCTTGGTGTGATTGATTTCATCCAACATCTCTGGATGATCTCCTCATCTGAAAAACAGGGCACGTTGGACTTGGTGTTCCTTAAGTTCTCTTTCAGTAATTTTGTGGCACTGAATTTAAATTATCCCCTTAGCTTTTTCTCTTGCTGCTCTGCCTGAGATTTTTATGTGGTGGCCTTGCTCCCTGGCTAGGATTTTTTAGTTTTTTTCCTTCACCTACATGGGATTTACAGTTGGAGATTTTTGTATCAGGCTTTCTTTTTGCCTTTTTTCCTTATTTTTTGTACCTCAGTGGGCATCTAGATGGAAAATTTTCAGATTTCCTGCTGATGTATCGTTTATGGTATCAAAAATAACTGTCTTAATCTATTTTGTGCCACTATAACAGAATACCTGAGACTGTAATTTATAAAGAACAGAGATTTATTTCTTAACAGTTCTGGAATCTGGGAAGTCCAAGGTCAAGAGGTCCACATCTGGCCAGCATCTTCTTGCTGCATCTTCCCATGGTGGAAGGCAAAAGGGCAAGAGAGTCAGAGAGCACACATGCAAGAAAGGGAAGGAAACCAGATTCATTCTTTTTATCAGGAATCCACTTCTGTGATAACATGCTCCCTCAATAACAGCATTAATCCATTCATGCAGGCAGAGTCCTCATGACCTAATCACCTCTTAAAGGTCCTACCTTTCAACAGTGTCACATTGGAGATTGTTTCTAACACATGAATTTTGGTGACATGTCCAAACCATAGCAACAACCAACCTTTTGTTGCCCTGTCTAGTAAATATAAAAATACTCCAAGTATCGGCATGTCTATTTTTGATTTTTTCAAATGTTTAACGATAAAAGATCTTTTAATCTGTGCTCTAGAAAATGTTTACCTTTCTATCTATCCTGAATATGCCTTGGTTCTTCAAAGATTCAGTAAAGCTTATGCTGTGCAGAGAGGAACAGTAGAAGCAGGAATCACTTTCCTGAGATGTATAGCTTCTCTAGCCTAGTGTCAGACAAGTTCCCATTTACAGAAATGTAGAGGAACCCACAGTTTCACCTCTTCCAGGGAAGGCACTAAAGTATTGCCTGGGAATTAAGTACATACATCAATCAAGCTGATAAGTCTTATCCCCAGTTAATATATAATAAAATATTAACAAAGCTAAATCAAATGAGTTTTTAGTTTAGCTATGTAAGTGGAAAGCAATTTTGAGGTCTGTTACATAAAGAATTCCAGTTCCGTGGTAGAGTAGCAAATAAATGGGATTGGGGGTGGGGTGGCAAGAGGGGAGATAAATAAATCACCCATTGTTATCTCACTGCTATCAACTGTGGTTCTTTAAGGCCAACAGAGTGGCTTTGCCAGGTTTCCTAACAGTTAGATTTCAAGATCTGCTTTAAGAAATAAATTTGTATTAATATTAGTGAATACATTTGAAGGATCTGTCCTGTGCTGTGAGCACTTTGTAGTAACTAACAGTAAAGCCCTGTAATAGTCCAGTATTGGTTTTTACTTAATAAAATATTTAATCATAAATGTCTGAATTCTGCATCTCCCACAGGAAGGCATTTCCATGCCCACTGACAAGAATAATTCAGCAGTTTCATAGTTGAGCGCTTAATTACTCGTAATTGCAAAGGGTAAGATATGATGAATTCTTCCTTGGTGGACATACTAAATATTTTAACTAAGTAGATGATTTAAAGTAAATTAAGCTAGTGAGGTCATTTATTACATTGGTTAAAAGCAGTTTAAGAAATATATCATGTCTTGCATTCCATTAGATGATAATATGTATGTGACTGTTGCTGTGTGCTTCATTGTTGGGATGGATGGCAGATTTTGGTCTGGGGGGGCTGGTGTTGGGAGGTGAGTACTAAGTTTGTTGGGATCTTTTGATTTGTTGTTTTGCCTGAGTCACTAATGAGGATCCTTAGCTATATGTAGAGTTTGCTTATCAAGCTAATAGGAAAACTCTTTATGCCCTTTTTTTTTTTTTGGTATGAGAGCATTATTTTTCCTTTATCAGGACAAAGGAAGGGCCTTGACAGGAAAGACTCCACCTTAAACTTTGTCAGTGCGTTCTTTAGGGAAGATGGCCTGATTTTCAAAGTAATGTCAAAAGCAGCCGAAAGGTAGAATAAGGAAGAGAAGGGCCAGCCCGGTGGCGCACTGCTACAGTGCGCCGCTTGGGAGTGTGGCGGCGCTCCCGCCGAGGGTTCGGATCCCACATACAGACCGGCCGCTCACTGGCTGAGCGAGGTGCAGGCGCAACACCGAGGGTTGCGATCCCGTTGCTGGTCCCGGTCCGGTACGGGCACGACACTGAGGGTTGCGATCCGTTGCTGGTCACGAAAAAAGACAAAAAGGAAAAAAAAAAAAAGAATAAGGAAGAGAAAGTACAAGACTAAACTTTTTGTACAATGCTCTATTAAATTTCTGAATTAAAAAGAAATTTACATTTTGGAGTCGAGGAAACAGGAATTCAAATTTTTTTTTTTTCCTTTTTTGTCTTTTTTACTGACCGGTAACGGGATCGCAACCCTCGGTGTTGTGCCCGCACCGCGCTCAGCCAGTGAGCGGGAACCGGTCTCCACATGGGATCTGAACCCTCGGCAGGAGCGCCACCGCGCTCCCAAGCAGCGCACTCTCCAGTGAGCCACCGGGCCAGCCCAGGAATTCAAATATTTAAGGCGTTAGCTTAGTATGTTACTGCAGCAACAATTGTGTGGTATTGTAAAAGGCTCAAGAGCCTCCTGCTTACCGTTAGAGAAGGTTGAAATAACTTGTCTCATTAAGTTAAGCTTCTTCCCTTGGGTGTCTTGTTTAGCTTTAGTTCTCTTAATTCTCTTTCCCTAGTGATTTGGATAAAGTGTCTGAAACCACTAAAGGTAAAAGGTTGAAGCGGTCCCCAATTTAATAATCTATCACCTTTCTTTAGTGTATCTGAGTGTAATTCCCAGCAGTTCTTTGTGAATTCACTAGAAGACAGCAAGTCATTAAAAGTTAATAAGAAACTATTTGTTTCTGTGAGTGTGAATAAAACCACTTTGTAGTCCAACATTCTTTCCCTGTCATAAAAGCCTTGCTTTAGCCAATTTTCATTTTCTCGGTCTCTCTAGGTTACTCCTGGATGGGGCGCCTCTGATAGCAATCCACAAAGGCAGGTATTACAAGAGGAAAGATGGCTTAGCCCTGGGGCCTGGACCATTTGTGACTGCTTTAGAGTATGCCACAGACACTAAAGCCACAGTAGTGGGAAAACCAGAGAGGACGTTCTTTTTGGAGGCATTGCGGGGCACTGGCTGTGAACCTGAGGAGGCCGTCATGATAGGAGATGTAAGTAGAAGAGCCCAGGAGAGGCCCTGATATCACCTGTTATGCTGGGAGGGCCAGCTTTGAAGCACTGCTTTAGGGAAGCAGACTCTGTTATTCATGATATAAATGGCTACCTATAAGATAGGTTTTTCCATAGATATTTAGTGGTATTCATCTAAATAACTGAAGTTTTTACTATTTCTGACATTTTTCCGTAATGTGATGGGATATATACAATTCAGAAAACCATTTATTTTTTAAGTCAATGAAATGCTCTATGTAGTTTTTTTGAAGAAAACCCCTACACATATCTAAATCTTTTTGAATGTTACTTATGTGGAAAACAACCTATGCCTAAAGAATTCTATCATTATTGATTTTTATCTTAGCATGTGCTTTATGGAAGAACTTCCCAGTCAATGTGCCAAAAATAGCTAATGATATTGATCACCTCAGCCCTTTCAGTGGTAGGGCTGAGCCTGGGACATTCAGAGGCCCAGGCTGGTCACCTATGGCCGTGAGCACCTTGTCAGTTTACCCAGTGTACTGGGCAAACGTTATTTCCTCCTATGTGTGCCATGATGGGAAAAGAGCTGGAAAGCACAATACCTCGTGGTAAGTTGGTGGGAAGGATAATATTTCAGGTTTTAAATACAGTAATAATATGTTAGGCTGGAAGGGACCATCAAGATCGTCTGGTCCAAACCTCATTTTATAGACTGGGATACTGAAGCCCAAAGAGCTAAGTCTCCGTGCCTAAATTCTTGTAGCTAATAAGTGTTACAGGTGGAAGTAAACTCAAGACTGTGGACTTCTCCCCTAGCTTTCTTAGTGTAGTGGAAATATATTACAATCCTCCTGATTTCATCTATTTCTATAATCATTCACCTAAAATAGAATAGGAAAATCATTGAACTCAGTAGCATTTTGAGAAACCATCTTCTCAGTTACATCTTTTCCTCTTGGCAAGCTTTTAGCTGGCTTTCCTAGACAAATGTGTGTGAAGAAGTGGTTATCTGAGCCTGGAGACTCAGAAATCTTAATCTTGGGAGATACTGGTACTGGGACAGGGTGGGAGATGGAAAGGGCAGCAGCTGCGTTCAGCTGCATGGAGGCTGTTTGTCATCCAAGAGGGTGGCAGTTCTTTCCCCCTTTTCCTCATCCACTTTTCCCCACCTCCTTTCCTCCTCTGCCTCTCCCCCATCTGTACTTCTTCAACAGGGCAAATGTAGCAAATGTAACAGAAGAGGTTTAAGTTAGACCTTGAATGAAGATTTTGACATTCTGAAACTCATTTCCAAAGACTGTTGTTGAACAGTATTAATGAGTTTTAAGGAAAACACTTTTCTTCAGGCATAGTCTGGATGAATCCTGCTTACAGACAGGAGATGGCAGGATTGATTTTCGTGAAGTTTCTTCCAGTCCTTGGATTTTTAATTACCTTGCATTCATCATCACAGTCAACCAAATGATTTATCCCTGTCTTGAGTAATAATTGGAAAGAAGAGCTCCCTTTTCAAACTGATCTGTATATTCCTAAGTGTGAAGTGAACATCAGACAGTCATAGAGTTTATTAAGTATACTCATTTGGCGATTCTGCCTGTTATGGACAATTGGATGGAAAGTAAAGATAGTACATTATGTGGACTGCAGAAAAGCTATCTCCTGAATCTGGTTCACTCATTGTCTGCAGCTGGATTATTCACCTAAAAGCTGCCAAATGGATAGAATGCTTTTTTCCATACTCTGTCTTAAGAGGAGATAGTTGTATGTGTGGCAAAGCGTGAAGAATTGTAACTCTGCACTTTGTTTGTGGTTACTAGGATTACTGCTCTATTGTATACCTTCTACCTATGCGGCACTTCTCTTTCCAAACGTGGCATGCTTCCTCACTGTTACATGTAGATTCACCCTTTTTTACACCTTTCTTTCATTTTAAGAGGCTCTATTGTATACCTTCTACCTATGCGGCACTTCTCTTTCCAAACGTGGCATGCTTCCTCAGTGTTACATGTAGATTCACCCTTTTTTACACCTTTCTTTCATTTTAAGAAAAAAAACATGGGATTACAGTTGGCCATCTCAGCCTAATAAATCAAATCAGTTGGTAGGGTTTGCTCACAAGCTGACTGAAGACACTGGACTAAATCTTTTTTTATGCTTTTCTAGGATTGCAGGGATGATGTTGGTGGGGCTCAGAATGTCGGCATGCTGGGCATCTTAGTAAAAACTGGTATGTATCTTCTGTATAAGCCTTTCCTAAAACAGGATGGTAGACTACACAATTACTTAAAGAACGTTCTTTGCAGAAATGGCAGAGTCCTGAGCACTTTAATTCCCTTTCTGTCACAAAGCAAAAATAAAATGGGCTTAGAATCACAGGGAAAAAGACAATGAGAGAGGACCCATGCTGGACAAAGCTAGGAAGTTCAGGGCTCAGAGGTATTTTAACACTTACCCAGAGATAACAATACTCAGTTGACAGTTGGCACTTATATGATTTCTTGGATTATACAATTTACCACATCAGAATGGTTCTCTGTAAAAATACCTTTTACGTTGTGCTGTCTATATGATTATGAAGTTGATCTTTTTAGGAACTGGCCGGCTAAGTGATCTGATCCTTTGTGTTAATGTTTGCATTTTAAAAAATATATTAAAAAAATAATAATAATAAATAAAAATAAAAAGTATATTTAAAAAAAACCTTTTTCTTTTCTTTTTACTTATTGTTTTTAGTAAAAAAAGTTTAGGAAGTATTTTCTGCACCACAGTTAGGTTTACTCTGTATGGTCCCTTAAATAAATTTAGGGAAAAAGAAAGACCTTATTGGGAAAAATTCAGTTAATACAGTATTATGACTACAGCAGACTGATTAAATGTCCTGGGTCCTGGTCTCAGCTCTGCACTGACTAGCCGTGCGAGACTCTGGTCAAGGCTGTTCCCCTCTTTGGGCCCTTTAAGAATGATGGGGTTGGACTGGTCCCTTCTATGTAGAGTCTACTCCTATGTAGAGTATGACTGATAAAGTCCTTTCAAGGTAAGGAAAGAACAGTCTTGAGAGCTGTGAGTGGGCTCGAGTACTGTTGCATTGGGAGCTTAATGAGCTTTTCCAGGTAAAATGGGACTTTTCCCACCCCAAAGGGTACCTGCTGAATTTGGAACTTATAGCACCTGACAGCCAAAGATCATGTCCAAGAATTGTTTACAGGCTTTTATAAATCAAATAGCAGATAAATGGTTCCCTAGATGTCTCTGTGAGCTCATTTGTCTGGTTTCATGTAATGGTAGTGAAACTTTTTAATAGGCTGTTCACAAAAGGGAAGACTTAAACATAATGTCACAGAGGAGTTACCACTGGGAAATATTTTTAGAAAAAGTAGCTTGACATTTGTTCAAGAAAATGTGGTTGCATAAAAGCTCTTTTCGGGGCCGGCCCGGTGGCGCACTGCGCTAGTGCGCCGCTTGGGAAGCGCGGCGGCGCTCCCGCCAAGGGTTCGGATCCCACATACAGACCGGTTCCCGCTCACTGGCTGAGCGAGGTGCGGGGGCAACACCGAGGGTTGCGATCCCATTGCCGGTCCCGGTCCGGTACGGGGGCGACACTGAGGGTTGCGATCCGTTGCCGGACACGGAAAAAGACAAAAAAAAAAAAAAGCTCTTTTGAATTTAAAAATACAAGAAAATGTAGATGCAGCTATAGTTGAATAAGTATTTGGCAAGGCTGTACATGAACAAAGAGTGAACACATCATCTGCTCGTGCCTGGGGTCTGGGGTGAAGCATTGGAGCCTTGTAATTAGTAGTACCAGTCACCCCAGAATTAGAATGAACACAGTGTGTTTCTTCACATTTCTCAGTGAAAATGATCATCATCTTCCCAGGAACATTACAGTCCTGTGATGTAATTAAACAATTAGAAGAATGAAATAAGAAAAATGGCCACAGTCATTCTCCTGCCCTGTGTCTTTATTTTTAAATTCCTACCCTTGGTGATTTTATTTTCTGGTCATCACTGAAGAACTCCTCAAATAGCTATTTTTTTTTTTTTTTTGTCTTTTTTCGTGTCCGGCAACAGGATCGCAACCCTCGGTGCCGC